TCTTTTTCATATACCTATTGGCCATTTGTATGTCTTCTTTGGAAAAATGTCTATTTGGAAATGTCTGTTTTCTTTGGAAAAATGTCCATTGTCCATTTAAAAATCAGATTGGTTTTTCTTTTGCTGTTGAGATTTATGCATTCTTTATATTTAGGATATTAACCCCTTATCAGATATGATTTACAAATATTTTCTCTTTTCATTTTGTTGATGGGTTTCCTTTGCTGTGCAGAAGCTTTTTAGTTTGATGTAGTCCTATTTGTTTATTTTTGCTTTTGGAATCGGATCCAAAAATCCATTGCCAAGACTGATGTCAGATAGCTTATTGCCTGTTTTCTTCTAGGAGTTTTGTGGTTTCAGATCTTACATTCAAGTCTTTAATCCATTTTGAGTTAATTTCTGTGTATGATTTTAAGACAGTGGTCCAGTTTCATTCTCTTGCATGAAGCCGTCCAGTTTTCCCAACACCATTTATTGAAGAGACTGTCCTTTCCCCCTTGTATATCCTTCCTCCTTTGTCAGAAGTTAATGGACCATATATGTGTGGGTTTGTTTCTGGGTTCTCTATTCTGTCCCACTGATCTGTCTGTTCATGTTTTGCCAATAGCATACTGCTTTGATTACTATAACTGTGTCATCTAGTTTGCAATCAGGGAGCATGATTCCTCCAGATTTGTTCTTTCTCAAGATTGCTTTGGTGATTCAGGGTCTATTGTGGTTCCATAGAAATTTTAGGGTCATTTGTTCTATTTCTGTGAAAAATGTCATTGGTATTTTGATAGGGATAGACATCTTTTAAAAACCTTGACAATAACCTTTGAGAAGGTGCCCTTATTTCCCTCATTTGACACCAGAGGGCAGTGAGGTTGTAAGACTTTAAAGGATACCTAATGCCATGGAGCTGATCAAGTTGGAACCCAGTTCTGTGTTGTTGAGGTAAGGATAGTAGGGGGAGGAAGTGGAGATGGGCCTGTGTTGTGGGCAGAGGATCTGGGATAAGTGATTTGGAATGGGATCCAAAAGAGACGGGTTGTTTTTGGTGAGTGGGAAGCAGAAATGAGAGGGTTCAGTAGCACAGAGGAGCAGAGTTAGAAGGTTACGTAACTCCTTATGGAGCTGGGCTGGCGTCCTTAGGACTTCCTGATTCATTGAGGACATCCTTTCCGTTTTGTCTTGTGACTTTACTTTGTGGTTAGTACATAGGGTGATTTATACCAGCTTAGAAGGTGTGTGGCTTAGAAAATATGTCTCAGATCTGTCTGTTAATTTATCTGTGAAATGAGGAGATTAGATTGGATGGTTTATAATTCCCCTTTCAGAATCAACACCTTATAATGTATAGGAATTGTTGAAAATGAGCAGAATAAATTTGCCTAAACCTAACATTTGGATTTCATGGTTTTCCTGCTCTCCTTTTCTTCTTTTGAAATGATCTTTCAAAAAATCATATTCTCAACTCAGCTCTTCTAGAATATTATTTTTGTTGGGTATTGGGCTTAAAATTTTTGTATCGATACTATCAAGATAATGAAAAGCTATCTTTTCTTTTCCCTCTTAGGCCCTGCAGGAGCAGCTAAAGATGTGTAAGTACTTAATAAAATGATTTTTAAAATTCTTTATGAGAAAGACACTGTTTTCATGGTTATGACCTTTAGATTATATGTTGGTTTGGCTGAAAATACATAGAAATACTTTCTGTACTGTGTACAAATCACGATCATCGTTTGGTTTATACCTGAAGTGTTATTTGAAGAACGGGATTATTTGTGACTTTTCATTTTAGCCTTTCAGTTTCCTTAGCACTTTAAGAAAGGGAAGTGCTTAATTGTGTTTCTGTCCCACCTTTTATAGAGGTTTCTTCTAATTGAAAGCAAGCGATTATGGGAGAATTAAGCATCTAGCTCCTTTGAACATGCAACATCTTAGACATAGCCCACAGGGAGAGACGGGAGCCAAGCATTTACCAAAAGTACACTGAATTGCTTTAAAGTTGATAATGAGGTACTTGAGGAAACATATATGACCACTCAAGGTAGCCCATACTGAGTTGGACTTTAGACCATTGGACACTTAATAAAGGGGCATCTCCCTCTGAGAGGTTTCTGGAGCAAAGGAACCCTTTCAGTGTTTCCATCATGCCCCTTTCTTGCATCTTCCTACCTCGAATCTGGATGTAATAAGGACATGGCAGTCATTCACTATGTAAGATTGTTTGTGGACACACCATGGAGAGTGGGCTCAACCTCCATCCCACCCACCCAAGTCGGTTTGGATGTCAAGACTGATGGTGCCACACACGCACCACGAGGGCATGAAAGCTGTATTACTCATGTAATGAGGTTTCCTGGGGAGAGCAGGGTGGGGTCCCAAACTGGTGCCTTCAGTTTGAGTGAAGGAAGGGGGTGAGCGCCTTGGTTTTTATTGCAGTGGGGGAGTTGGGCTGGGGCGAGGGCTCCTGTGCGTGGCCAGAGGTGTGCCTGCTCTGTCTTCCCCACCAGCACAAAGGTGGGACTTCCCGGCTTTCTCATCAGCTTGCACAGGTGTGGGACAAGAGAAGGAGTGGGGGACTTGAAAGCTGTCATGCTCAAAAATAGAGTCAGACTTTTTCTGATTACGAAGAGGAATCCAGAGAGATTAGAATAGGGTTGTAAAATTTGGGGGGGAATTAAATAAACGTTTTATATGGGACTTTAGGTACAAAGGAAGCAGTAGAGATTGCTTCAGTCTCCTGGTTGC